GTGAGCCAGCCCCCATTAAGGGTTTTCCTTTATGAGTTGCCATGATTATGGTGTCACTTCACACCAATAGAAACCCTAAGATAAAATCTTTAAAACCCAGAAATAGTACCCTCCAACACACAATTACCTTGAGTTTAAAGTGTTTCGGTCCTAACATACTCAGGAAGCACCACTTTCCCTAATACAGAATGGGGAAAGGGGAGCGGTGTGCGGAGAAGAAGGTGATCCACTTCCTCTGCTTTGCTCAAGGCCCACATTCCAGGCCTGCGTCCATGTTTAAATTTAGGCAGTGGAGAACCCACCTTGTCTTCTCTCTATTTCCAGCAAGGTAATGTCTTACATTAGAGTGCCAGATCCAGAAAGGGGGAACCACCAGCTGCACTTATTAAAATGAGGGGAAGCCAGGAAGCAGTCAGAGCCAGGATTAGCAAACTCTGTCCAACAGGGGGTTAACTGGGTTCTCTGCCAACAGCTTCCTGCCCTGGGCGCCTCCTTGAGAGAAGTTAAAGGGTCATGGTGCCATCTGTGTTCTCATTTCTCCCAGTGAGGAAGGGTACAGAGCTAACAGAAGACCCTGTGCTGCCAGCTGACTGTCCTACTGCCTTGGTCTAGCACAAGACTTCCCTGACCTTGGCACCTACACACACACACACACACACACACACACACACACACCCCCAATCTCTCACAGTTGTGGTTTATTAAAAGCTGTGCATACACGGATGTAATTACTGGTGTTTTATACTGAGAGTTTCAACAAATACCCTGTTCCCTCACAGCCTACCCTCTGCTTAGTGCTGTTCTCTTTACCTGTTATCTCGGGGCTGCTATTGCCGTGGCAAAACACCATCACCAAAAGCAAAGTTGAGAAGAAAGAGGTTTATTTCCGCTTCTCAGGTCACATTCCACCACTTAGGGAAGTCAGGGCAGGTATTCCGGGCAAGGAACCAGGAGACACGAACTGAAGTAGAGGCCATGGAAGAAAACTTTGCTCAGCCTGCATACGCAACTCAGGATCACTTGCCCAGGAGTGGTACCCTCCCTCATGGGATGGGACCTCCCACATCAATCAAGACAGAACCCCACAGACTTGCCTATGGACCAGTCTTATAGAGGCAATTTCTCCGTTAAGATCCTCTCTTCCCAGAAATGCCTAAGTCTCTGTCAAGTCAACTTACTTTATTTTATAAAGACAAAACCTTCCATTTTGGTGTACAGAATTATAATTAAGTCATCAATAAGTATAATTCCAGTTTGGCAGGCACATTAGTGAGCACCAAGCAGTTCAAGCGTAGGCAGTCTGAGGACAGTCACTGCTCCTAGAGGACCATCAGTTCGTTCTGTGGAAGGAGTTGGTTTTCAGATAGATGTTTTGGTTCCTCCTCAGTATAATGTGTCCTGAGTCCACATGGAAGAGTGATTCTTGGAGTGAATTTGTGGATTCTTTAGTTATACTGAAGAACCTTGACTGAAAGGATTTATTTATTTATGATTGTTTATTTTGTTTTTGGATTTTGTTTGTTTTGTTTTTCAAGACAGGGTTTCTCTGTGTAGCAGTTCTGGTTGTCTTGAAACTTGCTCTGTAGATCAGGCTGGCCTGAAACTCACAGAGATCTGCCTCCTGAATGCTGGGATTAGAGGTATGTGCCACCACCACCTGACTGTAAATTTCTTATGATCAGCCTTCCAGAGAAGCTTTTCTTTCTTTGTTTCTTTCTTTCTCCCTCCCTCTCTCTCTCTTTCTCCGTCCCTCTACTTTTGCCTTCCTTCTTTCTTGCTTGCTTTTTTACATCTGCAGAAAGTTGTACTGAAGGCAGCCCGTGGAGATGGTCACTCTAAATCAGGCTTTCTGCGCAAGCATGCACATGCGTGCACACACACACACCTACCTTAGGCCAGTTGTTGAATTTCCTTGAACCTCAGGGGCTCCATTCATCACATGAAGACAAAGGTAGCTGTGAAAATGAAGAAATGAAGAGACCAAATGCATAGCAATATTACATGCCAAAGACTAGGTTTTATTGTGTTGTAGGGATTAACCCGTTTTGTCTCTGTAAGAAATATTACAGAGTTTTTTTCTATTGAGCAACTATGAAACTTGTTTTAGGACAAGAAATTCAGATCTTTTATCTTCCCCACCCAGTAAGACTTTTTGTTTTCCATGACAGGGTTTCTTCATGTAGTCCTGGTTGTTCTGGAACTCACTTTGTAGACCAGGCTGATCTTGACCTCACAGAAATCCTCCTGTCTCTGCCTTCCAAGTGCAGGGATTAAAGTCGTGTGCCATCACCACCCAGTTCCCATAACTTTTATGCAAACGTTTTAGTACCCCTTACCCAATAAAACCTTTGTTTACACAAAGACCCTCTCCACATTCTCAGATTAAAATCTTTGACCCCCCTGGCACCTTCATTTATCTTGCTCCAATTTTTTTAAAACTATGCACTGTTGGGAGTCTGAAGTCAGACCTCAGCCAATGGGGAAAAGATACAGTTACCACTTGAGTCAAAATAAGCACATCTATACTTCCTGTCTCTGTGTGTCTCTGTGTTCGTTCTTTCTAGTTCACCCTCCTGAACAAGAGTAAAGTTTTGCCTTGTTGAGACACTTCAATTGTAGTGATGGTCTCTGTCTTTGGAACCTCAAATTTATTTCTAACAGTAGACTTAGCAAAGTTGTATCAGAATTTCTTCTCTTATTTGTAACATGTGGGCCTGCTCATTGGAGTTTCTGTATGAGGGCCGGCTTGTTGGGGTTTCTGTCCCGCCTGGTTCCCACAGCTGGCAAGTCCCAAAGAAAATCAGAGATCTCCATAAGTTATAAAACTGATTGATCCATTAGCTCAGATTACTTATTAGCTCTGGTAGCTTATATTAACCCATTATTCTTATCTATGTTAGCCACATGGCTTGGTACCTTTCTCAGCTTGCCTTTCGATGGTCTGGGCAGGAATGGAAGGAATTGGCTTCTTCCTTCCTAGAATTCTCCTGTTCTCATCGCCCCGCCTCTACTTCCTGTCTGGTTGACCCGCCTATACTTCCTGCCTGGCCAATCGGTGTTTATTCAAAATATGATTGACAGAATACACACAATTCTCTGGCACCAGTTATGGATTCTGAATACAGTTGCCATCTTTAGCATTCTCCTATCGACTGACTTGAAGAGTGTGTTTCCCTGTGTTCCACTCTAGTGTTTGTATGACAAACATCTTTTTGGAATATACTTTGATAGACTACGAATCTACCACTTTTCTCAACAGGTAGCCATTGGCAAAGTTCTTCCCGCTGTAAATGCTAGTTAAGTTACTGGAAGCACACATAGGATTTACATTTTTATAATTTCTGCAAGGGGTGAGCAAACTGTCTAACCTTCCTAGTTAGGTGGAACCAGACCCTGAGGCAATGAGGTTGGAAAGAAATCCCTTGTCAGGATCTGTACCTACTAGAAAAAGGAATAAGAAGCAAGGCAAACCTAGCAGAGAGACATTTTCATTGTGTCCTTTCCAGTTATGAGCACAAGATAATGAAGGAAGGTAATTTTGAAAGCTTTATGTCAGTTTTAATAGTCCCTCAAGCACTAAAAAAGATAATAGTCAATGGATAGTGCCCATAAGGATTTTTTTCTCCTTCTCTCTTGATAACCATTGGCAGGGATCATTTTGTATTTGTAACTGCTGTCACTGAAGCGTGGAGAAAAGGCCCTGGAAGGCCAGAGGATGAGGACAACTTCCTTGTACGGATCTCTGTTGTCATCATTGCGGCAATAATAGTTATCACCGTTTTGTGGAGCTTAAGCCTATAGGATTTGGGTTTCATCAAATCACACTAGCATAAAACCATGCTTTAAATCCTGCAAGAACATTTTATAAAGAGATCTATCCAACAGGATGAAAATAATTACCAATGCAGGTCACTTGACCAATACAGTTATTTATGGGATGCTAATAGCTCTTCAGAGGCTTTCAGATACACTGCTAGTCTGATGCACCCTCTCGTCCCTTCCCCTCCCCTCCCTCGTCCTCCCTCCCCTTCCCTCCCCTCCCTAGTCCTCCCTCCCCCCAAGGACTAGGCTTAGAGATGGATAGGAATGTAAATTACTGCAGATGAGCTTTCAGAAGTCATTGGTAGTTTCCCTTCATTATCCACAATGCGAGGAAAAGGAGTGGAGTCAGGTCTTCTAAGTCATCTCCGTTACACCCTCATCTCCTCCCGCCGAGCTCTGCGTAGTGTTAAACTAGCCTTACTAGTTTTCCCACGGACAGAAGTAGGGATGCCAAATCCTTCCTGTATTGACTAGTGTTACATCAGCTTGACACAAATTAGAGTCATCAGAGAGGAACGAGCCTCAGTTGAGGAAATGCCTTCAGAAGATCCAGCTATAAGGCTTTTCTTTTCTCAATTTGTGATCAATAGGGAAGGGCCCAGCCCATGGTGGGTGGTGCTGTCCCTGGGCTGGTGGCCATGGGTTCTATAAAAAAGCAGACTGAGCAAATCATGGGGAACAAATCAGTACGCAACACCCCTCCATAGCTCATGCCTCTAGAATCCTATGGTTTGATTTACTATCCTGACTTCCTTCAGTGATGACCAACAATATGGAAATGTAAGCCAAATAAATCCTTTGTCCCCCACAACTTGCCTTTTGGTTATGGTGCTTTGTCGTAGCAATAGAAACACTAACTGAGTCTCTTTCAAAGTTCGATGGTATGCATGAAACAAGACTGGAGATGCTTGTATGATGTCATCAAAGGCAGACAGTAGGAGACAAAGAAAAGGAGTGAAAAGGAGGACAAAAACACAATCAAAAGGAACAAAACTAGCGACTGAACGTAGGGAAGAGAGGAAAATAAAAGAAGCGGCAGGGAAAAGTACTGCAAAAGTGACTGCCCGCATAGATGCCAATAGCCTGAGTGAGCCCGGAGGGTGGGACTACAACCCCCAGAAGTCTTTGCGGCGCCGCTGGTCAGGACGTCAATCTCCTAGGTAACGCATATAAACAATATGGCTGCCTACGAGAAAGGTCCCTCGAGAGGGAAAGGGCCCTCTTTCCAGCAGGGCTTGGGCGCCCCTCGCGCTGTAATCCAGGCAATACTATCGCTCGCAGCAGAACGTCGTCGGACACAATGGCCTTCTTTTCCCATGGGACAGAGAACAAGAGGGACTTTCAAAAGCCCCTCCTCCCACCTCCTCCAACAGCTCATCCGCCGCTCTCAGGAAACGGAGACGGACGCACCGGGCGAAGAGGAATCTTCGGAAGAGTCAGAGGAGTCCGAAATGCTGAATTTGGAGGTGTGCCTTCTCCCACTCCCATCTGCATCCTCACCCCAGCCCCGGGCTTCCTCCAGCTTCCAAACCTGGCTGCCTCCGTTGCAGCTCGCTTCTGCACTTCTGCACCCCACTCATTCTGGCCAGGCGCCCCTTTCCCAGATGGCGAGGACTTTCTTTGCTGCTCATTTCTGTTCTGTTTCTGGTGTTCTTCACCTCCTCTCTGGGGTCGGAGCGGGGTGGGGGCACAGGGGTTTGAGAGGACAGAAACCCTCTAAATATCTGCTTTCTTTTCGTGATTTCTTATATGTCAGATTACCCATTGCCATTATGAAAAATTATCTGTGTTATTTGTATGGAGGTTATGGGGTTAATGCTTTCAAAATTACCCCTTGCTAAAGTTGCTACCTTAGCATCAAGAGGTTTTTTTTATATCCCCAATGTGTCTCTCCAAACTGAAGTCCTTCTGTACTCTTCCCAGTTGTGGGCTCACCTTCCTCCTTCCTCCAGGGTGAAAAATTGCCTTTTTGAAATAATCCATATCCTCCGACAAAGTCCAAATAACTTAAAAGTTTTACATATTGCATCTCCTAGGGTATAAGCCTACTAAAGCACTCGCCACACTTCCTGGTCAAGAAGGGAACCATAGCATGATCAGAGAGACAGCTTACCCTCACTCGTGAGAATATTTGGGTTGTGGGAGTGCTCTCAACATTCCCAACTCTTAGCTGGTTTTCTACATACTTTTCCCCTCTACTCACCCAGTCCCATTTTCAACACTTGACTGTATTCCCACACACTTGGCTGCCTTTTCTTACCCTAGTCTCCTTTTTCACTGCGTTCCACTTCTTCCTTCTATTGGCTTCTAATAATTGCTCTTTTTTCAAAATCATAAATTGATTTGTTCCTCTCCCCCACACACTTTTCTCTTTGTTTTAGCTACGCAGAATCAATATTTTTCTTAATTTCAATTCTTACCTTTCTATTGGACCCCTTCTTTTCCTTTGGCGTAGAAATCAATCGCTTCAGCTTCTTGACCTCTGTGTCATCTCCTAGTCACCTTTCTCCCTGATGTCAAACATTTTTCTTCTCAGTATTCCTTGAATAAGCTCCTTTCCTGGTTTGTCTTATTTTCTTATTCTTCCTCCACTAACCTTCTGTTACTCTGATTCTGCTCTTCTTTGGGCTCTTGTCTGTAATGCCTTTTTGTTCACTTTGAATATTGGATTGATTTTCCCCCACCCTCATCCCTCATTTTGTCTCTTTTTACACTTCTCTCTTTGTGGTCTAGTTCCCTCCTGATTTTGCTTGATGTTGGCCTTAGAAGGGTACCAGAAATTGTGTGCCTACCTACACTCCCAGCACTGGAGGTAGAGATAGGAAGGTAGTCCTGAGTTAGAGGTCATCGTGGTCTACACCCTGCCTTAAAAATAATAATAAAAGAATAAAAACAAACTTAAACAAACAAAAGACCATTATTTATTTTATTCTTCCTTTGTTGGTTAATTTTGCTGCCTTCAGCTTGTGACTACCACAAATGCAGCGGTGTTTTTGCTCCTTTGAAATGTTTGTATGGTTTCCACCACCTTCTACCCCAGAGGAATTCACAAATGAACCACCAGCATACTTTATGATTCTAATTAGCAAAAGCTCCTTGGCTCTGGGTTCATTAGTGCCATCGTTAATCTGTCTTCAGCACGTCATTAACAAGCCATAGAAGGGGCCATTCAACTGGTTCGTCCTTGCTGGTTCGGTGAATACACTGAGAAAGAAAAGTTTATTATGTATTCTAGTTACATTCTAGGTATTGATACTGACTTTGGCTTTTCATGGTATGGCTTAGGCTTTAAAATGTGGAATGAAAAGTTATAAACTGAACTGAAGAGTTATAAAGAAGTGTGCATTCGTGTTGAGTGGTTTATTTCCCACATCTTATGGGTAATAATGTGGTAGTCATAAGCAACAATGCAGCTAGCTTCAAACTCCAGGAGCCCTAATGAATTTAAGAGAAGCAGTTGAGACCAGCTGCTTGGAGCAAGCACCCACTGTCTTTGGGATGAAAGGCTTTATGGTCGAGACCTGGGTTAACCTTTTGTTAGTAGCAAGATTTTGAATAAGTTACTTAGCTTATCTAGTAACCTCAAATACAGGTTTGCTAGTCATCGCTGTCTCATAAGAGGACTAAATGATATCCTATATGTAAGTAAAGTGCTTAGCGTAAGGCCCATGAGAAAGCTTTGCCGGTAAAGATACTTGCTGCCAAGCCTGATGACCTGTGTTCAATCGATTCCTTGACCCTGTGGGTGGAAGAAGAGAATTGGCTCCTCAAATTGTCCTATGATATCCAGACATGTGCAAACACACATACAAATAAAAACTTAATAAAACTTTAAATACTTGACACAATATAGTCCTGATACTATAATAGTAACTCCCATGTTTTAACTGCTACCTGTCACAGGTATCGCAGTGCGGATGTGTAGGTTCATGCGGGTCGGTGAAATGAAGACTCCATGACGCTTTTAGAATGAACTTAGCTTTTGCAGCCGCAGGGACTTGCAGCCGCAGGGACCTCCAATCTCCGTGGACTGAAGCCCTTTCCCTTAGCTCTGTGTTTACACTTTAGCCAGTAGATTTTCATATGCTCAAAACAATCTGAATGCAGCTTTCAAAAATACGCTGCCAAGTGCAAATACCTGACTCATGAGGTACACCACAATTTTCCGGGTTTTCCTTAACCAAGTTTTGCATCGGCTTTGTATCCATGGGAAACTCTCAGACAAGATTTGCATAGGGCATTTTTGATCTTAGCCATTGTGACTGGTGTAAGATGGTATCACAGAGTCATTTTGATTTGCACACCCTGATGGCTAAGGATGTTGAACATTTCCTTAAGTATCTTTTGGCCATTTGAGATTCTTCTGTTGAGAATTCTCTGTTTAGATCTGTACCCCATTTTTTAAATTGGATTATTTAGAATTTTGATTTCTAATTTCTTGAGTTCTTTATACATTTTGGAGCGCAGTCCTCTGTCTGATGTGGGGTTGGTGAAGATCTTTTCCCATTCAGTAGGCTGCCTTATTGTCTTATTGACTGTGTCCTTTGCTTTACAGAAGCTTCTCAGTTTCAGGAGGTCCCATTTATTGTTGCTCTCAGTGTCTGTCTTACTGGTGTTATATTTAGGAAGTAGTCTCCTGTGCCCATGCATTCAACGCTACTTCCCACTTTGTCTTCTATCAGGTTCATTGTGGCTGGATTTATTTATATTGAGGTCTTTAATCCATTTGGACTTGAGTTTTGTGCATGGGGATAGATATGGGTCTATTTGCATTCTTCAGCATGTTGATATCTAGTTATGCCAGCACCATTTGTTGAAGATGCTTTCTTTTTACATTGTATAATTTTAGCCTTCTTTGTCAAAAGTCAGGTGTTCATGGTATATGGATTAATATCCAGGTCTTCGATTTGATTCCATTGGTCAGCCATTCTGTTTTTATGCCAATACAAAGCTGTTTTAATTACTGTAGCTCTATAATAGAGCTTGATGTCAGGGATGGTGATGCTTCTGAAAGTTCCTTTATTGTGCAGGATTGTTTTGGCTATCCTGGGTTTTTTGTTTTTCCATATGAAGTTGATTATTGTTCTTTTAAGGTCTGTGAAGAATTGTGTTGGGGATTGCATTGAATTTATAGATTAATTTTGTTAGGATTACAACATCAACAATAGCTTATGCTGGAGAGGATGTGGAGTAATGTGAGCACTCCTCCATTGCTGGTGGGAGTGCAAACTTGTACCACCACTCTGGAAATCAGTATTGTGGTTTCTCTGAAAATTGGGAATCCACCTACCTCAGGACCCAGCAATATCACTCTTGGGCATATGCCCAAAGGATACTCAATCATACTACAAGGACATTTGTTCACCTATGTTCATAGCAGCATTATTTGTAATAGCCAGAACCTGGAAACAACCCTAGATGCCCCTCAACCGAAGAATGGATAAAGAAAATGTGGTACATTTACATAATGGAGTACTTACTACTCAGTGGTAAAAAAAAAAAAAAAAAACAATGACATCTTGAAATTTACATGCAAATGGAGGAACTAGAAAAAAGCCATTCTGAGTAGGTAACCCAGATCCAGAAAGGTGAACATGGCATGCAGTCACTCATAAGTGGATGCTAGCTGTAGAGCAAAGGATAACGAGCCTATAGTCCATGACCCTGGAGTAGCTAAGCAACAAGGTGAACCCCAATAAAAATGTATATACATCCCCCTGGGAAGGGGAAATAGACAAGATCTCCTGACAAAATTGGAATCATGGGGGTGGGGAGGGGAGGGTAGAAGGGGAGGAGAAGGGGAGAAAGGGAGTGGGAGAACTTGAGGGAAAGGGATAGTCAAGATGGGGTAAGAACAGGGACGGAGAGCAAGGAAGAGATACTTTGATTGAGGGAACCATTATGGAGCTAGCAAGAAACCTGGCTCTAGAGAAACTCACAGGAATCCACAAGGATGACCGCAGCTAAGGCCCTAAACTATAGTGGAGAGGGTGCCTGAACTGGCCTTGCCCTGTACTTAGATCTTAAATGTCACCATAAACCTTCATCCAGCAACTGATGGAAACAGAGGCAGAGATCCACAGCAGAGCACTGGGCTGAGCTTTCAAAGTCCAGCCGAAGAGTGGGAGGAGTGAGAATATGAGCAAAGAGGTTAAGACCATGATGGGGACACCCCCTGAAACAGTTTACCTGAACTAATGGGAGCTCACCAACTCTGGCTGGACAAGGAAGGAACCAGCATAGGATCAAACTAGACCCTCTGAATGTGGGTGACAGTTGTATGGCTGGGGCAGACTGAGGGGCCACTGGTAGTGGCACAGGATTTACCCCTACTGCTTGTACTGGCTTTTTGGGAACCCATTCTCTTTGGATGGATACCTTGCTCAGCCTAGATATAGTAGTACAAAGGGCCTAGGTCCTTCCTCAAAGCAATGTGCCTTATCCTCTCTAAGGACCACTCCTTAGTGGGGGTGGGGTGGGGCTGGGGTGGGGTGGAAGGTGGAGGGAATGGGAGGAGAAGAGGGAGTGGGAATTGAGATTTATATGTAAAATGAAAAAAGATAATTTGTTTTCTTTTTTTAAAAAAAATTTAAAACAATCTCAAAAAGGAAAGAAAAAAAAGATTCACATAGGGCAACAAAAGATATCTGTAACACAAAGGATTGATTAGGGCTGGGTGTGACTCATAGCTCGCCACTTATGGCCCAGCGAGGGTTTATAGCTGGGGGGGGGGGTTTCTTGCTATTCCTCCGACGCCAGGCCAACAGGACATTCTGACACAGCTACCTAGAGCTTATTAAGTGATTTTCGCCTTATTGAACAAACATTTATGGAGTGATTGTTTAATAGAAAGCACACTTTGACCGTGTCTTGGCCCAAAATTTGACACACCCTTTGCCAATAACTCGAGGCGTGCGATAACGCCTGTTCAGCGGGATAGTTAGATACTTCAAATTTAGTAAGAGACTACTTTAAAGTCTCCAATATAATATCTGGTAGCTAGAGTAGACTCTCAGAAGTTACAGATGTAATAAATGATAGCAGCTATTAAGATAGAAGATGAAAATCTGATTGAAGACATATGGTCCCTGCTCTCAGCGTGACATAAGAGTAAGACAGCAATTAGCACCTAAAGTGTCACATCCAGAGATCGGTACAGCTGCACGCAGGGGTTACAGGCAAGAGCAGAAAAAGTACCTAAGGTAGGGTAGGCTGTAGAGGGCTGCGTGCCCTGCCTGGGCACACACTTGATAAGCGGTTCCTGGTGACCACGTACATTTAGATGAGAGGATAGTAGGGTTCTAGCAATATCTATAGGGGAGCAGGAAGAGTCTGGACTAAGGCAGTTCCTGGGATTACAAAGTAGGCTATAGAGGGGCTTACTATGTGGAGCCTTGCCTTAGGGATCTGAGAAAATGCTGGCACTTGTGTCCACCCTGATGTCCACAGCTATGGTGACAAGCAGGTCTCCCTACTGGAATAAGTACGGAAGTGGAGTGGGGTGAGGTCAGATGACCTGTGGAGCTCTGGGTGGGAAGTTCGGAAGGAAGGCAGCATTCCTTCCACCCCACTACCTCCTATGTTTTACATAGGCCAGCAGTATTTTATGTATAGGCATGAATGCTTTCCCCACTTGTGAGCAGTGAGACAGCTATGGGACATTGGCACATAGGACATTTATTGAAACATTTAATGTGTTCCAGGCACTGTGCCAAGAGCTTTCTGTATATTACTTTTCTTTCTCTTTAAAACATTAAAAGAAGGGATAGGAGAGAAATGATGACCTTCCCAATCTTCTAGCTTTCATAGCTGGACCTATGAAATAAAGTGACAATGGACAGGTTAACAGACTAGGACATGGCCATATTGGTTTTAATATTACATCCATCGGAGATATCATAGGAAAAGATTTTTTTAAAAAATTTATTACACAGGCTGGGTGGTAGTGGTGCATGCCTTTAATCCCAGAACTCTCAGAGTTTGAGGCTTAGCCTGGTCTACAGAGTGAGTTCCAGTATAGTCAGAGCTATACAGAGAAGCCCTGTCTGGAAAAAAAGCAAACCAACCCCCCAAAACTCATTATTACAGTTTTTTTTTGGTGGTCTCCATGGTGAAGGGTGAAGACTGTATGTATCTGTGGTTGTATAAGGACAGGTGTTTATAGATTGTTGATAGGGGTTTTGCTGGGTTAGTACATTGCTGGTTGTAGATTCTCCTCCAATAGTCACAACTTCACTAGCAATGAGTACTTAGTTAGATTTCCAGTACCAAATAAGGAAGGGTTGGGGCTACTGACATGGCTCAGTGGTTAAGAGCACTGACTGCTCTTCCAGAGGACCCAGGTTTGATTTCTAACACCCACATTGTGGCTCATAACCCCATCTGTAACTCTAGCTCTGTTGTAATGCAAGTGGCCGGGCTACGTTCCCAGTGCCCGACCGCCAGCATGGCTAGCTTTATCCGAAATAATTACACGGAAACTGTATTCTTGTAAACACTGCCTGGCCCATTAGTTCCAGCCTCTTATTGGCTAGCTCTTACATATCGATCTAACCCATTTCTAATAATCTGTGTAGCCCACGAGGTGGCTTACCAGGGAAGATCTTAACCTGCATCTGTCTGGAGTGGGAGAATCATGGCGACTGCCTGACTCAGCTTCTTTCTCCCAGCATTCTGTTCTGTTTACTCCACCCACCTAAGGGTTGGCCTATCAAATGGGCCTAGGCAGTTTCTTTATTAATTAACCAATGAAAGCAACAGATTAGAAAGAAATCACTCCCACATCATAGCTCCAGGGAATCTAAAGCCCTTTTCTGACTTGCATGGGCACTAGGTATGTATATGGTACACAGACATATACATGCAGATAAATCATTCATGCATATAAAAATAAACAAATAAGAAGACAGGTAAACAGATGCTAGATAGATAGATAGATAGATAGATAGACAGATATGTAGATAGATAAATAGACAGACAGACAAATGTTTACAGGGTCTGGACTCATCAGTTAGAGCACTTGCAGAGGACCCTGGTTTGGTTCCCAGCACCCAGCTGGTTGCTCACAACCATCCATAACTTGAGTTACGTGGCTTCCAACACCCTCTTCTGTCCTCCTTGGGCACGGGATGTGTGTGGTGCACATACTTATGTACAGGCAAAACACTCATACACATAAGATAAATGAATGTCAAAAAATTGATTATAGTGATTTATCCAAGTGTGTGCCACACATGTGGAGGTCAGAGAGCAGATTGTAGGAACTGATTCTCTTCTTCTGCCACGTGGCTCTTGATGATGAAACCCAGGTCCTCGGGACTGGAGGTGAGTGCCTCCACCTACGGAGTCACCAGCTGACCTGGGAAATTTTTTATGTGGGATTTGAGTGCTTCCACACCATGTTAACAGGGGAACAAGGGTAGAGGGAATGTAGGTCACTAAAGGGGGTGGGGATCGGGGAGGGGGCAGATGCTTTTGTGGCAGGATTCACAGGCTCTTAGAATAGATGGGAGCCATGAGGGGCTGTGACAAAGCTCACCTCATGGTGGTGTCAGTCTCTCTCTGCTCCTGTGCTAAGGGTCAATCTCCTCCAGTTGATGAAACTCCCGGGGAGGGGATTTCTAACAATCGAGTTCCTTTTGAAGGATCTGCCTCTGTAGATAAAAGCAGTTCGGAGAAAGCCTCCCCTTGCATTTACTGTTTTTTTTTCAAGTGCCTTCAACTCAAAACAATCAATATCCCCAAAAGCAGCCTACTTTGGAGGAACGGTGTGTCTAGAACGTCTTTAAAGAAAAACATACTTTCTGTTTATAGGTAGAGAAGTGAGGCTCAGAGAAAGCTTTACCTCCCCCAAGTCACGTGGCAGAGGTGAGGTTCAAACCGAGTGCAGCTGATTCCAAAGGACAATGTACTATCTCCATGTAGGCAATAGTCCCTGTGGAGAAAAACTCTTAGAGCAACACCATTCTATATACTTAGGTCCTCAGGACCAACAACCCAAATAGCATTCTTGGCTCCTGGGTTGGTAAAGAACTAAAGAGTGTATGTTTTCCCATCACGATTAATACACTCATCGTGGTTAAGTACCGTAGACTGGCTGCCATGACGACTGTTTTCTGCCATCGTGCTGATGTCGGTGTCCTTGCTGGCCATTATAGAGTTCAAGGCAGTGGACATGCAGCATAGACTAGCGTGTCGTCTCTTCTGTCTGCCACCACAGGGGAAATGCCATGCCCATCCGTCGGCTATAGACCAAAGGGCGAGCCTCCTCCTGGAAGTGACAGGCACCCACGACATCATCTTGTAAATTGGATGGATCTGACAAAAACAGCTTCTGGAAAGTGAGCTGAGGACTTGGTTTGTTCAGCAAGAATACCAGATTTTGAGACATTAGTGCCTTCATTTGATGCATCCTTTGAGGTGTGGGCAGGTAGCCCAGTACAGAATCGCCTTGGGGGCAGACAGATTGGGTTTTTATTCCAGCTCTGTCACATGCCGTTATGTCATTTTGAGCAATGTAACCTCTTAGTTACTTCCTCTGTAAAATGGAGATGAGAATTGCCTACTCCGGGCTGTCAGGAGCTCTTACACAGGACCACGAAATCTGACGTTCCTCTGGCCACAGTGTTGTCTCAGCATCAAGCACCACATGGAAGTGACCAGCCAATAAGTCAGTGGCAGCAAGACATGACTTTGATGTGGGCATTCACTTAGCCATGTGGAGTATGTAATGTCTTCTATGCAGTCAGATTTTCCCTGGGAGCGGGGTAGGACAAAGCAGATGGTTGCCTTTCTAATACACATTCTGTGTCCACCATTTTCTTTCTGCAGGCGGAGTTTGATGGGATCCTGAGAGAGGAGGCTGTGGCCGAAGCACTCAATGAGTTGGGGTGGTCGGGCCCTGGGACGGAGCAGGTCTACCTCAACCTGAATTTATCAGTGAGTATGACAGAGTCATTGCAGGGCAGCAACACGGACAGATGGCATTCACCTTCTTTGGTACTCACAGCTTTTGTCGTGGCGGCAAACCTCAGGGCCTTGTGTTCGATGGAGATGCATGTGTAAGTGTTAGGCTTCAGGGAACCACGGCCGTCCCAGGATCAGCTCCCCAAATTCCTTTGGTTCCATTTTCTCCGCACTCGCTTTCATCCTAAGTAGTCTATATTATAGTAATCAATGCTTTCTTCAGGAGGTTGAGTTTGGATTTGTAAAACCAATCAAAAACCCTGTAAGAATTTTCCCTCTGATCGGCCAAAGCAGAGCTAAATTTCGTGTCTGAATCCCCGGAACCGAGTATTTTGATAATCGATGTTCCTCTCATGTCGAGAAATGAGTAGCTCTGAGCTGTCCTTTATTTTCATAGATGCCTGCCGTCAAAGCCAAAGAATCCATTGTTATTCTCCAGTCTTCAAGATTTCAGTCCTAGTCCCAGAGCAGCACAGGATCGGGCTCAGCTTTGACGGCGTGGGGGTGCAAGAGCCGGCCACCCACAGTTCAGCCTCTCTGCTGTTCATAGTCCTAGAAAAATAATTGAACTCTTTTTGCCTCCATTAAAAATAAAAAAAAGACATCGAGGGGCTGGGGAGCTGGCTCAGCGGGCACAGTGCTTGCTGTGTAATGCGAAGGCTGGGGTTCGGATCCCAGGCGTGCTGGCACGGCAGCCTTGTCTAGATGGACAGGTGAACGCCAGGTTCACTGAGAGAGGCGGCTTCCGTATAGCAGGTGAGGGGCAAGTGAAGAAGACTCCTCCATAGGCTCATTACACACATGCATGTGCACCGGTTGCACACATGTGTTCCCACACCTGTACAGATATACCCTCTACACGTACTTTTATTTTAAAAGCACATGGAAAATTTGCTACAGCTTCCTGACCTGGCTCACTCCCGACTGGGCTAATGCATTGCCAAAGTGTTCTGCCGTGGATTTGAACTATCCAGTGACTACTGAGGTGTTGTCCTCTGTGCTGGCTTCGTAGCATGTCCTTCGGGGTCAGCATACCAAGCTCAGCTTTTCCCTCCCTGGCAGTGGCTAGCCTTCTGTAGAGGGCTCAGGCACTCAGCTGTGGCAGGAGTACCCAGTACACACAGCACTGTGTAAGACATTGAGATAGTGTGATTCTAGCAGCCAGTTCTGCCGCGTCAAGGCTCATTGTAACCAATAGTCTATTTATGTATGTAGCGCCAGGCCTTAAATTGATCTGCCAAAAAACCAATCCTTTAAATCTTATTTCAGCCAGAGGGATGGAGCTTAACTTATTTTGCCCCTGACCTCCGTACTGTTGAGATATTACGTGCTGAATTACTTGGCCTCTATAAACTGTCTCACTGAGTACACTCACTGGTTCAGTGATTTTCCCCCTCCTCATATCTTACTTAGGCTACACACAATATTATTACTATATAATTATATATTATGTGTAATATATAATATGCATCACACAGTAGTATTATATATTAATATTGTTATATAATTATGTATGATATTATATAATATCATTGTATATAATAATTATATAATGATTATTATTGTTTATTTGACTTCCTCTAATTACTTGTATACACATCTCCTCCCCTGCCCAAGTCCTAAATTCTTAAAGGCACACTAGAACTCAGCCCCTCCCTGTCTCCTGACTAGGCACAATGATGCACACAGTAGGCACTCAGTACTGACCTGTCTCTTGCAGCAGCCTCCCTTAAACAGCCATCACTCCCCGAAGTGAGAACTTGCTGTCAAAAGGCTTTTTTTTTTTTTATTAGCCGCCTTTGGCTTTGTTGTCTGCCCGCGACAGAATGACATATGCCTCCAGCAGAAGTCGTCATCCCGTGGGCTCAGATTCTCTCCCAGCTCCACCAGAACTTCCCATGACTACCTTGCTGGCATGAGCTTTGGACAGAGCCTCAGCGGAGCTGGAGACTGCGACTCCCAAGCTGCTTTGCGGCTTCAGGCTTGGCCACACCCCTCTCTGTGTTTCCCCTGTCTGCTCTGCTGCTGCTGTTGGATCTGCTGGGATCGCTGTGTGGTTAACAGTCTCCTGGTGACCTGTAGCATATCCCTAAAACGTCACTTACATGCTTGGCACTGGCTTCTCTTTGGCGAGATGAAAACGTGGTCTTTACTGCTGTACTTTATTTCATTTCAGACTGTTATAAAGGCTCCCGTGAACACCGCTGTCCTTTACCTTTTCATGTGGTGTGTCCTTGCTGCTAACACTAATTTCTTAGGCTAATAATTTCTTTCTTCTTCTATTGGAGACAGGGTTTGACTGTGCAGTCCTGGCCAACCTCAGACTCACAGAGATTCACTTGCCTCTACCTTGATTAAAAGCATGTGCTACCACGCCCAACTGACTAGAATTTCTTCAGAAGGAATACATTTTTTTCGTGGGGTTTTGAGATCTCATTAATAGCAGGCCTTAGAGTTTATTCTCTCTTTTCTATCCTTCGGTAGAAACTCTTGCTTTCTTTCCGTCGGCGTTGTTTCTAGCTGTTGCGGGAAGGCTCCCATGAACGCGGTAAAAGCCATATTAAAGCCTTCCCCCTTTCCTTCCTCTCAGCACTGCGATTTAATCGACATCAGCATTCTGTGTAACTATGTTCACCTACAGAAGTTGAATCTTTCAGCGAACAAAATCGAAGGTACGTGATTGTCAGTCAAGAGGATTGATCACTGAAGTAGTGCGAAAATTTACCATCTACAGATTTTAATGTGGTTTTATAATACTGAGCTTGATAAAAGTGATTTGTAGATCAATTTAAATATTGACTTATTGCTTTCTTTGGAGAAAGAGAGCGATAGAACGAGGGAGAGAGAGAGAGAGAGAGAGAGAGAGAGAACAATGATCTGCCAGGGAAGAGCAGGTAGGCCTTCAGTGTTTCGACAGCGGGGCACCCAGGGAGCCCCACGGGAGTTGGTATCCCTTCAGTACCCACAGAACGTTTGATGACACCCTTTTCTTCAGCTAGCTATTTAGCTCAGATGAATTAGCTACCCCGCCCTCTCATGGACATTTTATTTGGCTTTTACACTTCTGTTTCATCCTGGCTAGCTCTCTGTATTATGGGTTAAGCCCCAGGGCTTCCTGGTGTCAGCCCTGGCCCCTCTCTGTCGGTTTAGCTGACTCTTCTGACCACACCATCTGACTGTGTTTGCCATTACGCCTTCCTTCCTTCACACTTAATGAACATAGTTCTGAAATCATCGTATTTTCTTTAAAGCCTGGTCCTTGTTTTGAATTTTCAGATCTTATTTGATTTTAACACTATATATCTTTTCCTTTAGACTTCTAGAGACACAGGCAAATACTTATTTCTGATCTCTCTCCACTGAGCGTCTTTCTGCTTGCTGCTTCCAGCTGCCTTAGAGCAGACCTCACTGCTGCTGTTAATGGTCTCTCAATTTCTTTTTCCAGTTCCTCTCATCTGACTCTGATAATTAAAGTCCGGCCCCTGAGTGCAGACAAGCGTCAGATCCTACTCCAAATACCACTGTTGGAGAGACTGTGACATGCTTTTCCAAACCCATTTTAGAAAATAGCAAACACGAACAGAGAAAATTCTGGAATGAATACTGAGCAGTAATAGCTGGGGTCCCGTCTTGTTCTCTCTGAATCCCCGCCCTGTCCCTCTTCCTCCAAGTTACTTAAAGCAAGGCTCAGATGTGTGGTGACCCAACCTCCAGGAAGGCATTTAGCTGCTACTGGCAGGACTGCTCTGCCCACCCCACCCCTACAAGGCTGATTGTGCTCTGCCCACGCCATCCTTGCAAGGCTGATTGTGCTCTGCCCACCCCACCCCTACAAGGCTGATTGTGCTCTGCCCACCCAACCCCTACAAGGCTGATTGTGCTCTTCCCACCCCACCCCTGCAAAGTTGATTGTGTCTTCCCATCCCACACCTACAAGGCTGATTGTGCTCTGCCCACCCCACCCCTGCAAAGCTGATTGTGTCTTCCCACCCCACACCTACAAGGCTGATTGTGCTCTGCCCACCCCACCCCTGCAAGGCTGATTGTGCTCTGCCCACCCCACCCCTACAAGGCTGATTGTGCTCTGCCCACCCCACCCCTGCAAGGCTGATTGTGCTCTGCCCACCCCACCCCTGCAAAGCTGATTGTGTCTTCCCACCCCACACCTACAAGGCTGATTGTGCTCTGCCCACCCCACCCCTACAAGGCTGATTGTGCTCTGCCCACCCCACCCCTGCAAGGCTGATTGTGCTCTTCCCACCCCACCCCTACAAGGCTGATTGTGTCTTCCCACCCCACCCCTACAAGGCTGATTGTGCTCTGCCCACCCCACCCCTACAAGGCTGTTGTGCTCTGCTCATCTCAGTCTCTGAGATTGATTTTTCACTCTTACTGAATAAGAAATTGCAGCCTCATGGAAGGCTCTGATGATGTTCAATGTCAATAGCAAGAAGAGACCTAGCTTCATAGCCTGCCACTCAAGGCAGTCTCTATGCAGACCACACTTTCTTGATTCTTTATGACCCTCTCTATTGTGTGTATTGGTATGGCAGTGTGTTTTTCTTTGGGGGATGTCAGCTTTACAGGAGTTCAGAGGTAGACCACATTTCAGTTTTCAGCAGAATAGCTTGTGTGTAACAGGGACTGTTAGTGCATAGATGGCTGAATCCCACCCTCAGAGTTTCTGACTGAACTGGGGTAAGGGTTGGTTTGAGGTAAACAAGGATAAGGCTGATGCTGCTGGTCCAGAACCATTAGTGAAGCCGTAAGGTGCTCCTGCCATCTGGTGGACGAAGAGGTTACTGCACCAAGGAGTGACTGCGTGGAAGTCGGCACTGTCACAGTGATTTTTAAAGCCCCAGCTATGTACAGAGCATGAGGTTTTGTTACCATCTCATTGTATTGGTCTAAATATTAGCTGATGCTTCTCCTTTAAAACAAATACCCATGCGATTGGCATTAAAGATGAACTCCTAAGCCCAAACACTGCCACCAGGAAGCCCAAGATGACAGTTTCTCATCCAAACTATCACCAAATGCAAGATGGCACAGCCATCCCTGCCAGCCCGGCCCAAGACACAGCTGTGTGCCACCTCCTCCCACTCTGCATTTGTCTGCACCACTTGGCATGGTCTCGCTTTGCCTGTGGTTGGCATGGCTGTCCTGGTTCTCTGTGTCCTTCAGAATGAGAGAGAAAAGGGGCGCTACCACCAAACCCCTTACTGAAAGGAACCACCTATAGCAAGAAGGCTAGAGAAACCCCGCCATGTGGATTCTTTCATTCCAATGCCCAGTGTGCATCTCCTGTAGAGAGAGAGAGAGAGAATGGCAAACGCTGAGTCAGAATCACAGTTTGCGTGGGATTCTGTGTGTGGCCTCCACTAGCACGGTGTTTTATTTAGCACCAAGTCTGGGAATAGAATGCTTAAGATAAAATGCAGAACTCAGATGCACTTTTGGACTGATCCAGAGTCAAAGCACAGTAACAAGAAAGGGGTCTAAATCACCTCAAATAATTAATGGGATTTAGGATTAAGTCCAACTAAAACAAAATTGAATTAGCAACAGAGTTCCCTAATTGTGTTATTTTCAGTCTTCTGAAAAGGCCTAATTCAGTTATTTAGGAGCTGATTACCAAGAGGAGCATCTAATGCTTTAGCTTCGCATCCTTTTCTGGAAGGCTGGTGCTGTTGGAAGCACATGGGGTTGGCAGATTGTGGGAACATGAGTGGGGGTGCAAGAGGCTTCAGCCATGGGTTACTCAGACATCTCGGAAATAGAAGAGATGGAAGAAGTGGGCAGGGCCTGGGGGAGAAGGAGAAGTTACTGCCTTATAGAGAGTTTTACACATTTTTTTAAAAAAAATGATTGTAACATGAGGGCCTGCTTGTTGGAGTTTCTGTCCTGCCCAGTTCCCGCAGCCATTTAACCCCAAAGAAAATCACACAGAGGTCTCCATAATTTAGAAACTGATTGACCCATTAGCTCAGGCTTCTTATTAGCTCTTATATTAACCCATTATTCTTATCTATGTTAGCCACATGGCTCGGTACCTTTTTCAGCAGGGTAGGTCACATCTTCCTTCTCCAGTGTCTGGGCGGGACTGCAGAAAGAGCTTCCTTCTTCCCAGAATATTCCTGTTCTCCTTGCCCCGCCTCTACTTCCTGTCTGGTTGTCTTGCCTATACTTCCTGCCTGGCTACTGACTGACCAGTCAGCATTTATTTAAAGCATAATTGACAGAATACAGATTGTCCCACACCAAATGATTTTTTAAGTCAACTTATAATGTGGTGGATACTGTTACGACATTAGAACAAGGTGCGTTTTGTGGTTCGTCTACCCCTTGTCTCCCCCTCCCTCCTCCTACACCCTGCTCTCCTCTGTTCTACACTTTAAAAGAGTACTTCACACATCGTTCATTTTTATTAATTTGACTCAGCTGAAATATTTGAGATGTGCTTGCAATGGGCATAATTCAAAGTTATTCTAATTTGGCCAGGTGTGGTAGCACCTTTAATCCGAGCACTTGGGAGACAGAAAGCTGGTGAATCTAAGTTCTAGACCAGCCTGGCCTACATAGTGAATTCCAGGCCAACCAGGACTGAACAATGCGATCGTGTCTGGAAAAAAAAAATGTGTGTTCTGATATAACATGCTTAATGATTTTTTTCTAGTATCTTATTGATTCACCTTTTCTGCTCCCAGATTTGTCTTGTGTGAGCTGCATGCCGTATCTTCTGGAACTAAATGCTTCTCAGAACAGGCTGACTACCTTCTTCAATTTCAAGCCACCCAAAAATCTCAAGGTATACTTATCAATACTCTAATAATCTACAGTAAGGGCTTGCCACTTAAACAAGCAAGAGAGAACTAATAGAGAGGAGTCAGGGGGATAGCTTCCAGTGTGAGTCAGGAGGATAGCTTCCAGTGTGAGTCAGGGGGATAGCTTCCAGTGTGAATCTGAGGGATAGCTTACAGTGTGAGTCGGGGGATGCCTACAGTGTGAGTCAGGGGGATAGCTTCCAGTGTGAGTCAGGGGGGATAGCTTCCAGTGTGAATCTGGGGGATAGCTCCCAGTGTGAGTCAGGGGGGGTGGGTGACAGTGTGAGTCAGGGGGATAGCTCCCAGTGTGAGTCAGGAGGATAGCTTACAGTGCAGGTGTCTGAACTGAAATACAGACAAGTGTGTCACCGAGATGCTCTGTCAGCATATGGTCCTTGAGAGCTCTTTGCTGAAACCTCACATTCAAGGAACCAGCTTCCTTCTGTCCTCTTGGCCATATTTATGCCATTTTCTTAGTTAAAAAAGAAGATTTTAATTGATTGTTATTTCTTTGGGCTGGGGCGGTAGGTCTTTCCATGCAGTCCAGGCTGGCCTCAAACTCCTGCCCTTCCTGCTTTTGCCTCCTGACTGCTGCAGGTCCAGACATGTGCCGCCACACGCAGCCCCTTTGCCCTTGTAGTAGTGGCTCTTGTGTCTCTTTTGTTATAGCAGCGTGGTTCTAGCTGAGACAGTGGTAAAGCGTTTCCTGGGTGCAAACTTTGTCCTCTCCCTTATCCAACCTTTGCTTTTAAAGAAACTAGTACTTTTTTATATTCATTCCCTGGCTCTGCCCAGATGGTAACTGTGGCTGAGCAGTGCAGGCTCTTTCAGTGCTCCTGTCTGGAAGCTTTTGTCCCTCGTAGTGTCCACCAGCAGCATGCCACAGGCAGGAGCAGCGGCAGGTAGCCCCCTCGGCTGCTGAGCTCCTGCAAGCCTGTGTATCTGACCCTTGTGCAGCCTGGGAAGTTGGAGCTCCACAGCCTTTGGCAGTAGCTGGCAGCATCCATTACATAAGGCCTGGATAGTGGGATTCCTTCCAGCCTTTGAGAGTGACTTGCGTTAGAGTTCCAGGGCCTTCAGCCTCTGACTATGGACCCTGAAGACTCAGCAGCACTCTAAAATTCTTCAGCGACAGTGGCCAGAATCTCCCCTCCCTGGCTCATATAGCCTCCTTCAACCCCAGCACATCGTCTCCTCTAGTTTCTCTGTCACCCTATTCCGGTGCTTGTCATTCTCTCAAACTGCCCAGCCGCCTCCTCTTCAGCTACCAAGGAGCCACCTTTTGTAACCTGGCTCGTTAACTGCCCAGCTGTTGCAACTGCTGTCACTTTGATGACCCAGCCGTCACTGCTGCTACTCCTCTGCTGCTGCTTTCTCCAATGTCACCAGCTCGCCCCACACTACCAGAGCAGGCAGAAACAAAAGCCGTCCCAGAGAAGCCTTTTGTGGGGCCTGCTGCTGGGAAAACAATGGCATGAGCATAGGTAAAGTCTCTCAGGCAGCTTGTCCTGGTGTAGTAATAGGAGCGGCGGGGCTGCGTTCCCAGCACCCCGGCCGCCTGCCCGGCTTATGCCCCGAAATAACAACACACAAACTGTATTCATTTAAATCACTGCTTGGCCCATTTCTATCTAACCTCTTCTAGGCTAATTCTCACATATTAATTTAGCCCATTTCTAATCATCTGTGTTGCGCCCCTAGGTGCGCTTACCGGGAAGATTCTAGCCTATGTCCATCCTGGGTCGGAGCTTCATCCTGGGAGCAGGGCATGACGTCTCTCTCAGGTGTCTGCTCCAGAGAGGAGAGCTGTTGAGTCTGACCTCACTTCCTGTTCCTCCCAGCGTTCTGTTCTGTTTACTCCTCCCACCTATCTTCTAACCAATAAAATGGGCCAAGGCAGTTCCTTTATTAGACAATGACCTTCCTCCATCATCCTGGGAACCTGAACCTCCGCTTATATAAGCAGAGAAGGCATGTTGGGCCAATCAGGGCCCATCTTGCACGTAAATGAAGGCTTGTGTTTTTACCGATAAGTAGCCTTTCTACTTTCCCACTGGTTAGAACAGCCTCTCAGCTAGGTCATCAGGGACATGGGCCCCCTCATTCACAGAAACTTTGTGCCCCAAAAAAGTCTGATGCAAAAGTGAAACAGCCCTGGAGGAGGCTGTGCCTTCAGGAACTGGAGCATCCAGTTTTGACTGTTAGGTAGTTTTTGCAAGGCTTCTATGGGATGCTCAAAATGACTGGCGCTGGCATAGGCGTAGACTGGTCCTTTAGACGGCTTGCGCTGTTCCTTTCCAGGCTCTGTCAGCTCGGGTCTTACTGACCACGTAATCCCCGTCCCACCCCTGTTATGTTTGTAATGGTCTTCACCAGTTGTCTACTCCTGCCTTCTGGTTCCTTCTAGGACTTAGTGTAGGGAAGTATCGTTTAGTAAGTTTGGGGAGTGCAGTCGCTGTTTCAAAGGGCACAGGAGGGACAGTGTTTATTCAGCATCTTCTTGACTACCTTCTGGAGGGAGGTTACAACACCCTCATCAAGTGCCCAATATAGTGTTCCAAAACCTTGAGTTTTCTTACCTTTTGTTTAAAAAAGATATTTTCCCCAGTAGATGAATTAAGCAAAGCTTTTTATTTAATTAGTTAGTATGTATGTATGTATGTATGTATTCTCATTGTAGAACAGGGTCCACAGATGTTGCTGAAAATGCCTGTCTAAATGAGTCAATTTTGAGAAAGGGTACTGTGGTAGTTTGAATGTGGTTGGCCCCCATAATCTCGTAGGGAGTGGCACTCTTAGCAGGTGTGGCTCTGTTGGAGTGGATTTGACCTTATTGGAGGAAGCGTGCCACTCTGGGGAGTGGGCTTTGAGGATTCCTATGCTCAGGACACTGCCCAGTGTCTCAGTTGACTTCCCATTGCCTGCATGAAGGAGCACTCTCAGCTCCAGCACCACGTCTGTCTGCCTGCACACCGCCATGCTCCCCTTCATGATCATAATGGGCTGAACCTTTGAAACCAAGTGAGCCGCCCTCACTTAGCATGCTTTCTTTATAAGAGTTGCCTTGGTCATGGTGTCTCAGCAATCAAAAAAAAAAAAAACCCCAAACTAAGGCAGATACAACTGAAGCCGTGCAGCCTGAGGGATAAAGAAGGACTGTCCTGGCGGTGAGGGGCGGCGTGTGAGACTCTCTGGAGAACAGAACAATCAGATGCACACCCGAGTGAAGCTACTGTGGTCTGTTGGGCGTTAGAAGAAATAGGAAGTGTGGTGATATAGGCGAAACTGAATCCTGCAGGAGACCAGGAGATTTAAAATAACCGCGGAACACGTGAGAGTCGATGGGGCGTGGTGGCACACGCCTTCAATCCCAGCCCATCTCTGCAGGTTTGCGGCCAGCCTCGTCTATAAGAATTTCAGGCCAGCCTTGGCTGCATAGTGAATGAGACCGTGGAGGGGAAGGAAGGGTGGAAAAGGGAGGATCCGCCTCTCGGGGTGGTGACAATAGCATCCCAGCGAGAAAAGGTGGAGAGAGATGCCTGGTTTGGCTGCACAGCCCCTACAGCCATCAGTGCTACGTCTGCGTCCAGAAACCTGTCTTCTGGTTTTGCTGTTAAACACCAGCAAGCCTGAAAGAAAGCAATGTGTAACGTATGTTCTTTTGTCACCAGAAGGTGGATTTTTCCTCCAACCAGATCATGGAAATGTGTGACCTGTCGGCATACCACACTCTGACTCAACTCATTTTGGACCGTATCCTTTGGATGCCGGGAAGGGGAGGCTGTGGGGATTTGCTCCACTGGAGAGGGTGTTCCAGTCTACACGAAGTGGTATCAGATAAGTGATTGCCCTGAAGTGTGTGGCTCATGTAACTGAATAAGAACCAGTAGTCATAAAACACGGAAAGAGATTTGCTTACCAAGGACCCGTTCTACAGGCCAAAGCTTGCCGTGGCCTTCTGATCCCGGCAAGCAGAGACAGACGGTCCTTGACATGAATGTTAAGCTTGTTTCTTGATTATAGACCTAGGGAAGTTCTGTTAAATGAACACGTATCTTCAAATTTATTTAAAATTTTGCCTTATTTTTTTTTATACAAATTCAGAGTCTGAAAAACCTAGATTTGTCATGAGGAAAATTGGTAGGAGTTCATATTGCTGCCTTTAAATAAAGCAAGGCATTCTACTGTGTTATTTATTTATCTTGTTGGGGGAATCAAACCTGGGATCTCACACATGCTTGGCAAGTGCTCTACCCCAGACCCTATAGCTCCAGCTAAAATGTCTTTAACTAAAAACAAAAGAAAGGCCCAGTTTTTGATTGCCTCCAGGAACATACATGTATGCATTGCATGAACCACGCTCCCGTGCAAGCAGAATGCCAGCTTCCACTTGTGGAGCCTGAGCCTAAAAGGTTAACTCAAGACCTTTGTGTCTAATGAGCTTGAATCTCCTCTGTACACCAGAGACTGGTGTTCTCTGGGTAATAAGCCAGCAGGGCTCTCTGTTGCTCAGCAAGCGTCTTTCTCCCCCCTTGAGAATTTGGGGAGCAGAACGGCGCATGGGTTGACTTCCCCTGAGTGTCTCATTCCAGGGATGAGGCAGCGGCCTTGTTTGTAGTATGTCTAAGTTTGCAGAGGTGGTGATCCAGGAGGCGGACTTTGTAGAGAAAGTCTCTACTCATGAGGAATGCTCAAGCCCATCCCCACTCCCTTTCAAACTCATCGATGAAATAAGCAGCGAGTGAGCTGTTAGGTGGTGCTCATGAGTAGCCCAACAGAGGCATCAGATCACGATGTCAACGAAATGTTTCCACGGCAGATCAGAGGCACACACATACGCAACACCTTCCTATAGAACCTTGGCTTTATGCTTGACCATGGTATGTAAGGAATGTTCAGAGAGAGAGAGAGAGAGAGAGAGAGAGAGAAGAGAGAGAGGGGGGAAGAGAGAGAGAGAGAGAGAGAGAGAGAGAGAGAGAGAGAAAGAGAGAGAGAACTCAGAAGCCACCTGGCTTGGAAATCCACTTGCCTCTGACCATGTGGGAGAATGCTGCCCAGAGGGACCAGCATAGCATAGCATGGAACTTGTAGAAATTTAGATTCTTTTGTTCTGCCCAAGGCCTATTTGAACCAAGTATCTGGACAATTGGAGTGTAGGTTAAAGCGGACAATGAGGACTACTGAGAACTCAAGAACAATGGCAATGGGTTTCTGATCCTACTGCACGCACTGGCTTTGTGGGAGCCTAGGCAGTTTGGATGCTCAACTTACTAGACCTGGATGGAGGTGGGGGTTCCTTGGACTTCCCACAGGACAGGGAACCCTGATTGCTTTTCGGGCTGAGGGGGGGGACTTAATTGGGGGAGGGGGAGGGAAATGGGAGGCGGTGGCGGGGAAGAGACAGAAATCTTTAATAAATAAATAAATTAAAAAACAAAACAAAACAAAAAACAAAACAAAACAAAAAAAAGCTAAGAAACTGGCTATATTCTAAAGCCCTGCCTGTCAGAGGGGCTCGGCACTCAGAGGCCCTGCCTGTGCCTCAGGGTACCTGGAGAACAGAACGGAGCTGGATATGGATAACTTCTGCTCTGGAAAGATACTTCACTGTGCAGCCCGGAATTGCCAGCAAAAACAACTCTCACGTATTGTAGAAGCAAAATATGGGATTTTGTTTAAAACATTGCTATTGCCGGGCGGTGGGTGGCGCACGCCTTTAATCCCAGCACTTGGGAGGCAGAGGCAGGCGGATCTCTGTGAGTTCGAGACCATCCTGGTCTACAAGAGCTAGTTCTAGGATAGGCTCCAAAACCACAGAGAAACCCTGTCTCGAAAAAAAAAATTGCTATCATGGGGGTTTTAAATTTTTTAAAATAAATTTAGCTTTCCATGTATAAAAGTAGAATATTAGAACTTTGTGACTGTCAAATAATGTAGTGATAAAGAATTAGGTTTTCTTTTTAAAATGTTGACGTTAGATGTAACAGTTGAGTCTTATCACTGACGTATAGAGAGTAATTATATCAAGACTTATGGAAATCCAGAGCCTGGGCATATAGGGTATATTCTAGCATCTTTACCTGTATTTGAAAAACTGCAGAGGCAAATAGCCAAAACAAACGCTCTTCTTGAGTTATTAATGAAACAAAATTACAAGTAGTTTAATATCAGAAACTTTACAATTATAATTAATACTAACAGATTCAGGAAAATAAATCTTTTTTCCCTAAAAAAGAAACCTCAAGTGATATATAAAATTTAATGAAATCTAGTACTCTTTAATTTTTATCACATTTTATAATTTATTTTGTATGCATGCATGTTTGTGGGTGCACACAGCATGTGTCCACATGGAGGTCAGAGGACAACTTTTGGGAGTTAGTTTTCTCTCTTTCCACAATGTGGGTATCAGGGATCCAACGCAGGCCACCAAGCTTGGTGCCCGGTGCCTTTAGGCATCTTCCCAGCTCCCAAATCCAGTACCCTTTCACAGTGCAACTCAGGAAACTAAAGTGTTTTCTCTGAGTATGTTCTCTACACAAGTATTTTAAGCACTCGAATCTAAAAATATCAGCTGCTGGGGAGCACATGGAGAAGATCTCTTTGGCACTTGTCTGTGCTCATGACATTGGCTCAACCACTTTGAGAAGACAGCCTTAAGTTCTCCGATAAAGGTGAGCGTCTACACTCACTATGACCTGGCGCTTCCGACTCCTACAGGAAGTCACATGTGCCAGGAGGCTTGCAGAGCGATGCTTATTGTGGTGTTGGCTGCAATGACAGAAATGCAAACACACCAATTGCTCATCAGTAGGAGATGTAAATAAATTACGCTCTTGTCTGGTCATAGCAAATGATATAGGAGGGAAGATGGGTGAGATATACCAACGGGTTCGGCAGAGATGAATTCTTAAGGTTTCTTAAGTCTTTGTTTTATTTTATGTTTGTGAATGTTCTACCGGCATGTATGAATGTATATGCACTTCATGTATGCCTGGTGCCCGGGGAGGTCAGAAAAGGGAATCAGATCCCCTGGAACTAGAGTAACAGATGTTTGCGAGCCTCCATGTGAGTACTGGGAATTGAATCTGCGTCCTCTGCAAGAGCAGCTCCTTTTAATCTATGAGCCATCTCTCCATCCCAGAGATGAATTCTAATAAAAATAAATATAACCTAGGTATAAAGGGGAAAGACACAATTCAAGCATAGTATATATTTTTGAGAGGCAGACACAAAGATTGAACAGGAGGTGTGTGTGTGTGTGTGTGTGTGTGTGAGGTGTGTGTGTGTGTGTGCACATGTGCAAATGTGTGTACATCCACACATGCTTGCTTTTCTGTAAGTGTACATGTGTGCAGGTCCACAGAGGCCAGAGGAGAGTGTTGTGTGCCCCAGAACTGGAATTACAGGCAGTTGTGAGCTGCCTCATGTGGGTGCTGGGAGCCAAACTCAGGTTCTCTGCAAGAGCAGTACATATTCTTAACTGCTGAGCCATCTCTCCAGTCCCAAACTGGGGAAAGTCTTAATTGAGTCTTTTGAAAATAAACTAATTATGCTTGTAATATAAAGTGATTATAGTAGATTATATTAGTATCTTGAACTACATTGTTAACTATAAGGAATCAATTTTTTAGTTTATCATATTAGATTATTTTATCTTTCCCAGTGTAGATAATTGATGATTACTTGATAATCATCCTGAATTACAAGGTGAGAAATTTAGTCAAGGTTAAGTAGATTTGCTTATTATTAAGTAAAGATGTAGTTTATTTTCTACCTTACAAGTATTGATGGGTCATTAATAAATTAAAAACATGATTCATAGAATTTGAGAGCTTATTTTATGGTAAAGGAGCTGGAGACCCAGGGAAGGTCAACTTGTTGGAGCTCTCTGGAAAATCACTCTGAAGTTACCATTCTGAATCTTATTAGTTTGCGCACGCTATAATCCACTGAGTGATTACTGTTTTTATAACACTGCTGTTTAAGCTATATGCATATTTCCTTTCCCCTTTAACACTCACTTCTGTGGCAGAGACCACCTTCTAAGGTGGTAGAGATCTCTTAGGATGGGCTGTGGTTAAAGCCACCGTCATGACTCTCCACTAAGAGAATCCTGATGGATTTCGGCCTCAGTTCTCAGTTACTGTTTTCTGTACACCCAAACCATGTTTTATGATTGTAGACAAATGAATAAGAGCAAATGCCGAACTGGTGAATAATTCACACCGAGCATTTATGAACTGCTGACAGCAATGCCGGAATGTAAAAATATATTCTTGGGTTCCCCAGGCCCCAGTCATAAAGTTACGCTTAAGTGCCACAGGGTTCCTTCACTTGGCTTCCATAACAATCTAAAATCCCACTGTCAGTGATTTATTCACAAAAATGGTAAAACTTCAGAGCTGGAAAGCGAGGCAGCGATTGCGAGTTCTTGGAGGCTTTCTCCTGATAGCCCTCCTTTAATATTATAATGCCCTTAAGAGGATTAATGCAGTAAGCTAATTCATCGAAATAGTTTAGTGATTTATCAGATTGTATTTCTTCTTATCAGAAACTTCCCAGACCTCGGGAAGAATGTGAAATAATAATGTTACGAGGAAGGGCAAGAAGCTCTCCGTGAAGGATCTTAAAATAAGAAGACAGGAGATTAGAGGGTTGAAGGTATTCTGCCTGGGAAGTGTGCCTAGCTGGGAACGGAGAGCTGCTCACAGCCACGCGTACTAATTGTAATCAGCACCGCAGTGCTGTGTAATGTGACTGCTGGAATAAGGAGGGGAAGAGGCATGGCCATGTAAAGGGTGTGGTCATTCCTGGGAAGTGTATCCCAGGACTCCTCAGATGTCCAAGCCATGGATGCGCAAATCCCTTGTATGTCATGAGATAGATGCTATGTCACATGCTGTTACGACATGCTGTTGGGAATAATAACAAGGAAAAAGCCGTATGACTTCGATACAGTTGTATGGTTTTCGCATCAAGCGTTTTCATCATGTGGTTGATTGGCTGAATAAAAGGGTGTAGAATCTATGCAGATGCAGGGCCAGCATAACTGGAGGTTTCTCTCCCACCTGCCAGCTTCCAAACAACCACTCTGAGGCTTACTATTTATTTACTATAATGGCTTGGCCGATGGCTCAGGCTTCTTACTGGCTAGCTCTACATATTTAAATTAACCCGTTTCTATTAGTTTGTATTTTACTGTGGCCTTATGACTTGTTAGCTCACATCTTGTTTCTATGGCAGCTGCTGGTGTCTTCCAGACTCCACCTTCTTTTTTTCCCTTTCCCTTTGCTTAGATTTCCCACCTGGCTCTATTCTGCCTCGCTGTTCGCCAAATAAGCTTCATTATTAACCAATGGCAGCAAAACATATTCACAACATACAGACGGGCATCCCACACCAGGCCAGCATATCCTTTACTTGTGAGCTCAAGTAACTTATGGTGCCTGAAAGTCCTTCAGTGTTAAGGGGAGTGAGACTTGGGAAGTGGGAGGAGACGGTAGGGAATGAGCAGTGGTCTCCACAGGGATGCTGGTTGAACTCAGTTTTTGCAGAACCCCTTGAGCAGCCACAGCGGGATCTGTTGGAGCCAGGGCCGTGGTTGCAATGAGGCACCGTGTTTCTCCTTTCTCTCCTCTCAGTTCTCATTTCAAAAAACTTGACACGTAGCAGTGACAGGGAGAGAGGAAGCTGGAGGCACCAGAAGAGTTGAGACAGTCTCTGGGGTCTTAGAAATAAGCTTTTCCAATTCCCGATGTCACTGTCATGGCTAGGACTCCTATGTTCCAGCTCCTGGCTCTTGCCTGCTTCTAGGAGGCTGATTCTGGCAGCTGCCCACTGCATCCGTTCACTCTGCTGTGATTCGGAGCATCTTCTTCTGGTTGGGATAGAGTTTCCAGGACACCATTGTTTCTGTTAAACCGGGCTTAAATACTTTGTTCTCTCTGACACCGAGCAGATGGCTATTTGAAGTTTTCATGGCTTAGTTTTTGTTACCAAAGATTGCTTACTGCAGAGATATTTCATACACAGCTGTGTGAGATAATTTAATCTCTCATTTCCTATATTTCATGCGCATCTTTCATGATAGCCTGTATCTACAAAGAGCTGGCCTTCATCTGTTTCCAAAACCATTGTTTAGCCAGCCTAGAGAAAATGGGATCTGAAAGACAGTGTTTGTGGGTAAGTATCTGTTTGTATGGCTGTTTTGGCAGAGACCCTACTCATAGGAGATTTGAAATGGCATATTGACCTCCACAAAACTGTGTGGTTTTGCCCATGGCTGGAATCTGGAACCAGCAAGAGAAGCCTAGAAATTTCTGCTACATTTGGTAACATTATCCGATTTTGGTAACATTATCCAATTTTCTTATTTATCTCTATCCTTAGTCCAGCTCTTTTTGGATTCAGTCCCAGCCTTGATTCATCCATTTCCATGCTACACATTAGAGAATGTGATGCTTGGCCATGTGTCTGTAATGTAGTTATGATATGAGAACCTTAGAGTTTTGAAGAATAGCTCATTCACATCCTTTTAAAAACAAATGAGTTCTCAGACAATTCCATGCATGTATATCATATTTTCTGGCTATTCTTATCCCCACCTTCTCTCTTCCATTCCACTCCGGTCAGTACCCTCTCTCCCCAACATGTCCCTTCTTGACATTCTTGTCTTTTTGTTTGATGACTCACTTAGTTTAGCAGAGCTGTCTGTGTGGTCATGAGCTTAAAACAACCTGCTGGAACCAGTGAGTACACAACTCACGGAAAAGAGTGACCAACACTCCCCCACTCCCAAAATATATCAGTAGCCAGCATTTTAAGAGAGAGGGTTAGGGCTCCATGAGCTCCTTCTTCGCCTTGACTGTTGACAAGGCCAGTCTTACGCAGCCCAGTGCAGGCTCAAAGAGCTATTGTGAGACCACGATTGTAATGGCTGTGTTATGGCCTGAAGACAATTCTGCAGCCCTTCCCCTGTCTTCCAGCCCTCACTTTTCTTTCCTCTTTCACTTACCAAGCCCAAGAGGGGTGGTGTAAACATCCTTTTCAGGACTGCACACCCAACCATCGCTGACTTTCAACACCATGATCAGCCACGAGGCTCCGTGTTCGCAGTCATTCCCTGCAGAGAGGAGCTTCTCTCACTAAGACTGAACGTTGTGTTTGTTTATGGGCATGAATGTGAACATTTTGAAGGAAGTTTGATTCCATGTCAAGTTAGCTAAACAATAGCAGTTAAGTTCCCCTGGAGCCTAACCATGGGTTTTCAGTCAAGTGTTCGTACCAAGCATGAATTCTCTCCTGTGAAGTGCGCCTCAAATAAAGAGACAGTTGGTTACCCCATAATCATCGTGCCATTATTGCTCCAGTATCACACCCAATCTTTATTTATTTTTCCCCATGTCTTAACTCCTAGCCTCATACCAACTCAGTGTTATCACCATGTTACAAGTGCAAACCTGATAGTGAAGGGTTGTGTAAACCAGATCAGGGTTTTGTATTTATCCTATTAAAATTAAAAATGTTTGATTTATGTGTGTTTATGTATTTGTGTGGGTATGTGCACATGAGTGTAGATCCCACTGAAGGCACTGGATTTTCTGGTGCTGACATTGCAGGTGATTGTGAACCGTCTGATGTGGGGGCTGGTATCCAAGTTCAGGTCACCTGCAAAAGCAGCACACACTTTTAACCAGTAAGCCACCACTCCCACCTACTCTGTGACAATTTTTTTTTTAAATTAGACAGAACATCCAATCAACATTTTGAAATAATTAACCTGATTTTAGCCTGTGAGGCTCTTGAGGGCAGAAAGTGATGGTTGTAAAAGCAACCCATTGATGCTAAAGGGGAGTGGAGTTGGCAACTGGGTGAAAACCAAGGACACCTAAAGACAGGTTTCAGAGCATCAATATCCGGTCTTAGTGATTAACTAGATGCTGTAAAGAATGAGAGAAAATGGTGATGTTAGCTTATAATTCATGTTCCTAGAGAAGCTAAATAAGGTGAATCCAAAGACAAACACATAGGCATCCTCAGGAATATTAACCTTCATCAGGCGATGAAAGGAGACAGAGACAGAGACCCACACGGGAGCACCGGACAGAAATCTCAAGGTCCAAATCAGGAGCAGAAGGAGACGGAGCACGAGCAAGGAACTCAGGACCATGAGGGGTGCACCCACACACTAAGACAATGGGGATGTTCTATTGGGATCTCACCAAGGCCAGCTGGCCTAGGTCTGAAAAAGCATGGGATAAATACGGACTAGCTGAACATAGCAGACAATGAGGAATACTGAGAATTCAAGAACAATTGCAGTGGGTTTTTGATCCTACTGCACGTACTGGCTTTGTGGGAGCCTAGGCAGTTTGAATGCTCACCTTACGAGACCTGGATAGAGGTGGGCAGTCCTTGGGCTTCCCACAGGTCAGGGAACCCTGATTGCTCTTCGAGCAGATGAGGGAGGGGGACTTGATCGGGGGAGGGGGAGGGAAATGGGAAGCGGTTGTGGGGACGAGGCAGAAATCCTTAATAAATAAATAAATTAAAAAAAAAAGAAAATGGTGATGTTACAGCTACTTAAGAGGCAAAGCTGGGCCCTGATGGAGCAGTGGCATTCATTCCTGGGAACTAGTCAGGCAGTTTGAGGACGGAAAAGGCCTAGCTGAACACTCAGCTTTGGAATTGCTGTCTGGACCGACTGCAAACCTGGGACACGAGATAAACTTTAAAAATGTGATCAGTGAGAACAGACACAGCACATGGTGATATTAGAGCAGACTTCTAAGCTTCCTGTATTTGAACAGGAGAAGGGAAGCCAATACCAGTGGGAAGAAAGGGCTGGTCCCCTCCCTGAGAGGGTGTTGGCCGCCCAGACACGCCCATTTGCTGTTGAGACATTGCAAAGATGATCTATCTATCTATCTATCTATCTATCTATCTATCTATCTATCTATCATCTATCCCTGTTCACATTGCCTCGGGGTGACCCTGCCTTCCAAACTCCTGCTTGAGGTGAGCCACATGAGTTCCCCCATGGAGACCATTAACTAACCCAGAGAAACACCACCCATGAGACAGCTCTGAACTGATGTTTTCATCCATAGTATTAAATGAATCACATGTGGATACAAATCCTATGCCTTTAAAATTTTATAGAAGTGATGTTTTCTCCTATATGAAAAACCTAAGATTTAGTTAGGTAGGGCTCGTCCTATATGGGGCATAAAATATTCATTTATTCAAACTCTTGTTTGATTTTTCTAGTGATAATTTAACACTGATTTTATTTTATATTTTTATTTTTTTGAGTATATATTTATGTATGTGTGTCTGTGTTTCGCCAAGGTGCCTGTGTGAAGGTCAGTAGATCATTTTTAGGCATTGATCCTCTCCTCCCATCATGTGAGACCTAGGGATTGACATCAAGTAACTTTACCTGCTCAGCCATCTCCCTGGCCCAGCACTGATGTGTGTGTGTGTGTGTGTGTGTGTGTGTGTGTGTGTAACGTTTCCAAAGACTCTGAATAACATTTTCCTTAAACATAGTTGTCATATACAGACAACGAGATAGAAGAAATCACTGGGTTAGAGAACTGTATCAGCCTGACCCACCTCAGTCTGGCTGACAACAAGATCACAACCATCAGCGGCTTGGGAACACTACCCATCAAAGTGCTTTGTTTGGTGAGTCCAACAAGATGCCGTTCTTTGTAGAAGTAGTGGCTATTGTTTAAGAAGTACGTGAATTATGACGACTAGGATTTTTCTTTGCGCCTTATAGCGTCTGGTGTGCATTCCTGCCCCTGTGTGTAGGATCAGTAGCCCCTGCTCAAGTAAAGCCAGTTTCAAATTCCATATGCAGATTAAACATTTAGATAGTCAGTTTTCTAGTCTGTGGAAGGAAGTGTATTTTGACAAGTAGTTTTTAATATTATATATTTCGTTGGTGAAAATAACAGTTGAGCATAGTAAGCGTGCTCAAATTTATGCATGCAGATGTTTCCCAGGCTCTGAACTCAAGCAGCCCATCTATACAAGTGCATGCTGGTCTCCCAGACTGGAAATCATAAGCTGTGCAGAGAGGAAATGCATAGTGCAGTCAGAAAGACCATCCGATTGCTGTTTTCCCAAGGACAGCGCCTTTTTGAAGTCCTGTGATATGCCATGTGACCAAAACACAAATGAAAGCTGAGACTGTTGGCCAACAAGTCAGCAGGATCCCAATAGTCCCAAAGATGCACGCGATCTTTATAAATTAACAGTATGGGTCACTAGTGTGTGTGTGAGCGTGCTAATGCTCTGTGTACAGGATTCTTCCTTCTCTTCCCCTCCCTCCTCGCCTTAGATGGCTCTGTTGGCCTTTATCATACCCATCAGAGGGTGGGCAGGGAGCTTTTCAATGAGGCTTGTGTCTTAACCATGTTTATGTCTCTCTCCCAGGAAGCTGTGTTAAATGACATATTGGGTTATGTGTACATTTTTTAAATTTGATTTTTTAAATTTAAAAACAAGATTTTTCATTTTACATACCAATCCTAGTTCCTCCTCTCTCTCCTCCTTCTGCTACCCCCCGCCTTTCCCCCACCCCATTCCCCTCACTCCTCAGAGAGGGTAAGGCCTCCCAAGAGGAGTCAACAAAGTCTGGCACATCAAATTGAGGCTGGACCAAGGCCTTCCCCCCATATCTAGACTGAGCAAGGTCTCCCTCCATAGGGAATGGGCTCCAAAAAGCCAGTTCATGCACTAGGGATAAATCCTGATGCCACTGACAGTTCCCCACAGACTGTCACTCACATTCAGAGGGCCTAGTTCAGTCCCACGCGGATTCCCCAGCTGTCGGTTCAGACTCAGTGAGCTCCCACCTGCATGCATACATTTTTTTTAACTTAAAAATTATTTTTTATTCTATGTCTTTGCCTACATGAGTATTTATGAAACACTTTCATGCCTGGTGCTCAGGGAGTCAAGGAGGTGGCACAGGATCCCCTAGGACTGGAGTTACAGACAGTCGTGAGCCACCATGTGGGACCTGGGGATTGAAACTGGAAAAGCAGCCGGTGCTCTTAACTATCGAGTCATTTCTCCAGTCCTACGTGCACATCTTTGAACATGCACATAGGAATTCCTTATTTAACCACAGATCACTGAGGTTTGGCTCTGTGATGATGTTTCTTCCTCTTAAAGCTCAAAATACTTCTCGCCCTCCATGGAGTTCAGAGAGGGTGGAGGACTGGCCTTCCAGCGCCATTCAGAGAAAAGCTTCACGAATCCCCTGAGAGTTTATGTTTTCTGTGCTCAAGGAGTGACAAATATTACTAAAACTGTGCATTTTACTTTCATCCTGTGTCTCGTTAATCACATGACCCTTGCTGGCACTAGCATTCTTGCTATTTTTTTTCTGCCAATAAATGAGATAAGTAAGTAGTTCTAGTTCCTGCACCCAGCACCAAGACGGGCCAGAAAATACAGAATATGCCGTTACTCATTTTCACTGAAGTTCTGAGAGTTAGAAAGTTGCCTTTTCCAAATTTGAATAAAATTCATAACCCAAATGATGCACACTTGCTTCAGCAGTATTTATTGACTTCATTTTTAATTTATGGAATCAGAACATCATTTGGTTTTGTTATTGACAAGAACTCAGTGTACAGTACAGTAAGAAGAGCAAACCAACCGCTAATACTCTGCCTTCATCCTCTGTGGGAGATGTAAAAGATGGCTTGCCGGTGGGCCATTCTGTCCTTAGAAGCTTGACAGCGTCGGGCAGTGATGAAGCTTGAACTTCACCGTGTGGGAGGAAAGGCCAGTTGGGTTCCCTGACAGACTGGCAGATGAGGAATGCTTCCTAATTGAATTTACTGCTCTCAAAGTGCTTTTTCTGCTATTCACTGCAAGGTTGGAGGAGCTGTGTGCAGAAACTTCTTAAGTCCACAATCCCGAGCGGGCCTTTGGCTCTCAGTGCCCGACAAAGGCCCTGCCTGCCTGGCTTTCAGTCAGAGATTCCGTGATTCTCAGCTTCTCTCAGTCTGCCCTCTTTTACGACCATAGGCTATCCAATTAAGCTTTTCTATGCCTCGCTCTGCTCAGACCATCTCCCACTCTGAAAGCCATCAGAGCCCCTGAAGAATACTACATCTGTCCAGCGTATAGAAAGTGCTTCACAGTCCTTCATGGAGAAGTGCACTGTATATAAATTTGATCTGTGGGCAGTGTTTGAATGGGAGATTGAGCCCTCATTTCAATACATTAAATTGATATGGATATGATGGTGAGCTCAGCAGGGTCTCTTTCCTATTACTTTTCACTTTTTATAACTTTTTTGAACTTTAAACAGGAAAATTTGATTTCACTTTGGCAAATAAGGTTATGAAGTTTTTTTTCTTTTTATTACATTTTTTCAAATACATAGAAGTAAAAAGAATAGTATAATAAGCTCTCATGGGCTGTAACCCACCTTTAAAGGTTATTAACATTCTATTATGATATTTTAAGGAGCTATAGAATTATAGTAGTGAGCGTAAATCTAGTTCATTATTGAAAAAGGATGAAAATGGGTTTCTTGCTATTCAGTGTGCCAGTGAACATTACCGGTGAAAATATTCAAACGAAAGGGAATACAGCAATTTAAGTTTTCAGTTATTAAGTTATTCAAATATTAAGTTATATTGAAAGTTTTGAGTGTTTTTTTATATTTTATTTTATTTTTGAGACAGGCTCTCTCTGGGTAGCCCAAGCTGTCCTGGAACTTACTATGTAGACCAGGCTGGTCTTGAACTTACAGAGATCTGCCTGCCTCTGTATCACCATGCCCAGCCTGAAAACTTTAAATGTGTTAAAGATAAGTAAAACATAGTATTAACTCAAAATTTGAACTTTATGATACTTTTCGACTTAAACCGAAGGCTAAATTTTACTGTGATATTTTTCTGTTCCTTAAGGCAAAGGGGCTAAGGATTGCAGAGTATATTGGGAAGTCCTCAAAAATGAAAATTATTGTTATTGCTATTATTGCCATGGGTGTATGGAGACTGAGAAAGAGGACAACTTTCCCCCGTTATCAATGTCTGAGAGATGCTTGTATGTCAACTATTGAAGAAGTAGATGTGGTTATCATGATGTAGTAGGCTACCCAGTGGTAATGGCATTGAGGGAGTAACCATTGTTTTAACTAACAGTTGTGCACCCTGGACTGGATCAGAGGGCTGTTTCTTCCGATGGGCTTGCTGGAATGTTGGGTGGTGGGGTCAGCTCATCCGGATTGCTTTGATGGCTATTAGTCTCGGGGTATTGACTCATAGGTACCAGTCTGTAAGTCTCCTATTTAGTCTCAGGGTATTTTCCCACGTGATTTGGGATTTCTGCTTGTCCAGGTGATGTTTCCATAGTAGGATGGCTGGAACATGGTATCTGTATCTAGAGCTCCTAGGATCTGAAAGCAGGCGTGACTTGGTCATCCTGTATCTTAGAATTAGAATCAGTACGTTTCTTTCATACTCTTTGGTTAAGGGAGGTTTTATAGGCTACCATAGGTTAAAGAGGAGGAATGACACAAGCACAGACTCTACCAACTCAACCTTCAACAGACTTTGTGAGATGATGTCACTTGAGAATATTTCTGGAAACCGAGTATAGGTTTACCACGATGGAGCTGAAGGAGCGCATTCAGGCCATGACTTCAGAGACCAGCATGCAGCTGTACTGATGTTTAGGTTTCAGGGGTGTGGCCTTAGTGTCTTTTCCAGTTGTGCTGAGAAACCACTGCAACAAAAGCAACCTCAGTGGGAAAGAGTTTCTTCAGCTCACAGTTCTGGGCCGCAGTCCATCGTAGCAGGGGAACCACAGCCCAGGGGCCTGAGAGAGCATGTCTTCGGGATCCACAGAAGTCACGGAAGCAGAGAACAATGAGTAGATCATGCTTGGGTGTGTTCAACTCCATGTCTTCAGTCTTATACAATTTAGAATCCTCTGCCTAGGGGATGGTGGTACCCACAGTGGGTGGGGCCTCCCGCCGTAGTCATTATAATCCATCTCATGTATGCCCACAGGACAGCCCATCTCACCAATCCCTTGCTGAGATTCTCTTCTCAGGCAATATGTTTGTAGTAAAACTTAATGAAAAAAAAGAGGCCACAGATTTGCTAGAGAGCAAGGAGGGGCATATGGGAGGGTTTGGAAGGAAGAGAGAGAAGAGGGGAAATGATATATTATAATCTCAAAAATAAATTTAATAATTTGAAAAATCAAAGGACTAACATCATAGCATACATTGTTAAAAGCTTATATTACTTAGTGTTTGACTATCTTACTGACTGGAAAGTTCATCCTGAAGATGAAAATATTAAAATTCTAATGAAAATATTATACCTCGAGCTTTCAGGTGCAAAGCTAGGATTTTCTTCTTGGGCCGCTGTGTAGATGTTTAGATAGGCGAATGATGGAAATGGGGGCAGGAAAAGAACAATTTATTGTTTTCATTTTTAAAGAATGTGGGGTCCATGTCCAAATATGAAGATTTCTTGCATATTGCTTTAAAACACAAACTGTGTTTTATCCATTTCAGAGCAACAACCAGATTGAGAACATCACAGGTCTGGAGGAACTGAAAGCCTTGCAGAAGCTGGATCTCTCCAACAATCGGATCAGTAGTCTCCAGGGCTTGGAGAACCATGATCTCCTGGAAGTGATCAACCTAGAGGAGAACAAGGTGGATAACGTAGGGCGTGGCTTCCGTGGGTAACGTGGGGGGTGGCTCCCGTGGGTAATGTAGGGCGTGGCTCCCGTGGGTAACATAGGGCGTGGCTTCTGTGGCTCTGTGAAGTGATCCTGTATTGGCTTTTCAAGGCTTACATGGAATGCCCTCTAGCAAACTTTCTGGGGCAGTTCTTAGAGTATGACTTTTTGAAAAACACCACCATTCTAAACATCTGATGATTCTTAGTCACAGTATTTTAAAGGTTGAAATTGTCATCATGTGTGTGTAACTTTCTGAAGTTGTGTTCACACAACATTTTCTGTAGAAAGAAAGTGTTCAGAAAATTCAAAATGTCCAAGCAAGAAGAGACAAGAGACTATCCACAGGCAGATGTCTCCTCTTGCCTACATTCAGAAATTCAGACTACTGGTGGGAAAGGCGTGGGGAAGATGCTGTTAAAAAGGATACAAAGCTTCAGCTAGAGGCTGGGCAGAGGGATGCTTCAGCTAGAGGCTGGGCAGAGGGATGCTTCAGCTAGAGGCTGGGCAGAGGGATGCTTCAGTTAGAGGCTAGGCAGAGGGATGCATTCCAAAATCTATTTAGTACCACCAACTGCAGTTAACAATATAGTGTTTTGCATGTGTCTTAGTGTGGGGGAGGGTAGATGTTGAGACAGGGTGTCAGGTAGCCTAAGCTGGCCTTGAACTTGCTATGTAGCCAAAACCAGCTTTGAACATTGGTCCTCCTGCCTCTACCTCCAAAGTGCTAGAATTTATAGACATGAGCCACCACTAGTTATCAATAGTGGTCTTGAAAAATGCTGAGAATGAGTTTTTAATGTTCTTAACCCCAAAACAATAGCCTTTAGGAAATAATAGATTATTAGCTATATTTAGCCTTTCTACAATATGTGTATATATATATGTATGTATATATATATCATATTGAACATGTTAAATATAAATATATACAGTTGTATCTGTAATCTAATAAATGTAAATGCCACAAGAAAGGCTTAACCATAAAAATTAAGCAAAATGAACAGACATAGAAATGATTTCTTATATACTGCTATAGCAACAGTGTCTCTTCAATGGGTTGGGAAATGAATTTGTTTGCTTATCTGGCTCAATGTACCCTTTACTTTCAAAATTATATTCATATTCTCTTTCTCTCTTGAACTCCAAATTAATTAATTTAGTTAGTTGTCCCTCCCTCCCTGCCTTTCTTCTTTGTTTCCTGGTTCTTTTTTTTTTTCATTCTTCCTTCCTTGCACAGTACTGGGACCTCTCACAAGCCCATGACTAAGCTATATTCCAAGGAACTTTTTCCGACCAAGCTTGCATTCTTCATTAGGTTGTAAACAAATCAACAAAAGTCAGTTGCTACAGTCTAGAATAAGCACAGTTGTAATCTTAGACAAGACAGTTGATCTTCACCTCACTTTATCTGTTAGCTGAGTTGATTTAGTGACTTCTTACAAGGTAAATGATTCTATTAGATGACATTGGTCCATGTATCTTGTGTCGCAGGAAGACAGTACAATTTCTATTCCAAATGGCTTTAGCATCCTTTTTATGAATTGCCGTTGAGGATTGACTTAAGAAATATTTTGTGCTTAAAATGGCTCTCATATTTATATAGGGGATGTTGAGAAGGTAGAACAAGCTCATTAAATGCAAGCTCAGTACATCATCTAAGAATTTAAGAGAAGTAACAGCAGTAGTAGATGAGAACCTAGGGCCTTGCCTTCAGAAATGGGAGTGGAGTTAGACTTGAGAACCCAAGCTGTAGACAGAGACCGGGCTTTTGTTTCCCTGCTGCCCAGACCTGGATAATCAAGCAGAAACTATATTAATCACAACAGTGTTTGGCTTCTTAGCTCAGGCTTATTATAACTAACTCTTACAAATTAAATTATGTGATCCACGTGGCTTGGTACCTTTTCTCAGTGAGGCATTCTTATCTTGCTTCCTCTGCATCTGGCTGGTGACTGCATCTCTGCCTTTCCTCTTCCCAGAATTCTCTTAGTCTTGTTGCCCTGCCTATACTTCCTTCCTGGCTACTGGCCAATCCGCGTTCCATTAAACCAATACGAGTGACAAATCTTTACAGTGTACAAGAGCATTATCCCACAGCAACAAGGCTTGGATGTGCCATGGGTGTAAAGTTACCCGCACTAATAAAAGGGAAAAAGAAACAGGAGATGTTAACTTTAATGATATACATTATTAACTAGGTATCTCTGAAATGCAGTTTTAGCACATAATCTACATATGAAATTATTATTGAGCTATTTTGTCTCCTACTGTCTTATACCAGACTTTTGGCACTGGGTGTTTATGTTATAGTTGGGAGTACATCTCACTTCGTTTAGCCAGAATGTGGGTCCGGAGTCACCCCACACAGAGTATATCTCTCTCTTGCTTTTCAAGTCACTTTCAAAACTACACTGGAAAAGGGTGAAAGAAAAAGAGGTATGTTCAAATGAAGAAAGGCGTTTATAATTTCCTAATGTTAGAGATTCTGTTCTGTAAAAAAGTGGACACTCGCCCTACAGGGGACTCCTTTGGCAAATCAATCTTTGACAGTAACATAATTCCCTGTCCCCCACTGGGCATGGTGGGAGTAACCTACAATCCTTTGAAATGTTATTTGAACCCTCTGACGAGTCCCTCAGGGGTTTCTATAGGATGGTTGAGAATTTTTTGATTCGGGGGTGGAAAATATATTTGTAAAGGGAGCACCACATAGGTATGCTGCTTCCTCTATGATTCAGTGCGATGTGAGAAGGACTGTTTTCTCGGCAGCCATTTCCTCAGTGTTATTCTGTGTATACCCCCGTACATGCCTGCCCTTTGCCAGTGTTTGCTGTCTGCTGATTAGGGGGCCCCTGCCATCTTCCACTCTGTGGTCCCTGTGACATTGTAAATCATGGCTAGCGCTTAAAGTTGACCCAAACTTTCAATGCCACCACAGCCTCCACACACTCCCAGCTGTGGGATACTTGCCAGGGCGAACTCAGGGAACGCCAGGCTGCTTCTGAATCTTGGTGCTATACCTCCGAGTTTCTATGTGTCAGGAGGCTGTTGTTTTTCAAGACAAGAGTTTGTCTGTGTAGCCCTGGCTGTTCTGGAACTTGCTTTGTAGGCCCAGCTTGCCTCAAGCTCACAGATTCACCTGCCTCTGGGATTAAAGGTGTGTACCACCAAGCCCAGCTAATACCTTAGAATTTATTATCAGCATTTCTTGTCCATTTTTGCAAGGAGTCACAATGCAATACTTAAAACCACAGATGCGAGGAAAGAGCTTCACTTGTAGATAACTTCAGCACTCTGTTGAGCCAGTCTGGTCTTCTCCATTAGTTACGCTGCCTTAGACAGTCTCCCTCGATGTGGATGGAGGTGGTAACAGCGAGGCATCATTTTCATAGTGCTATAGATGGTATGGGTTCCAAGGTAAAGGGTTTCTTGCTTCTCATTGTTCAGCAATAGACTCTTTTTAATGTCTCAGGCAAGCAGGGAAAGGACATTGTCCCCGCCTTCTTGGATCCCAGTTCACACTTTTGTTCTTGTGTATGTAGTAACATAAAGAATTTGTGGGGATTTGACTGCTAAGTGAACTTGACCTCTCTTTGGTTTTCCACTTATTAGACCTGAAAAGGGGAGCACTGGGTATATGATCTGGGGGTCTCCTGTCTTATGCAGGGCCAACGCTGAAGCAGAGGCAGCCGGGTCTGGGTTGGTGGAGATGTTGGTGTGGTCACGTCACTGTTAAAGTCAGTCTCCATTCTACTCCTGCCGTTGGACACATGCAAGAAGGAGGCCCCTTGGGCGCTTGTGGTCTCTACACCCCAAAAGGCCAGCCAGGGCTAGGTAGCCTGAGCTGCTATCCAGCCCCCGAAGTAATAGAACTAGAAACTGCTCATGGTTCTCTGCAGAATGCCATGGTGTTCACTTGCAGCCTTGGTTCTTAAGCTGCTTCATTGCTTCTTCAGAACATTTGAGCTTTCAGGCCAGGCCTAATATCACTTTCCCTATAATCATGGCCCTTAATGCCTGCTCCAGAATGGCCAAGTTGGCCTACTTCTTGTTAACCTACTCAGTGGAGCTGGAGTAAGCCTGCTAAAAAAGTCAAGGACTTGACTGAGATCATTAGGCCATCGATAGAGAAAAGAAGACCTGATATGATCAGTCCACATAACTTAGGGCAGAGACCAGTAGGCTTAGGGGTGAGCGTGGGGCCATGTGCTTTCTGGTTAGGGATTTGGGAGGTGGGGCGTCATCACTTTCTTTTTGTCTACTTCCAGGGCTCCATACAGCTAGCCTCTCCAGCACCTCCTCCGTGTGTTCTTGAGCCTCCACACTGTCTTTCATCATTAGTATTTACTATTGCCCACGTGCTATGGAATAATTCTTCCATACACTGTGAAAATTTGTTGCTTTCCTTGTTAATAAAAAGCTGATTGGCCAATAAATAACTAGGCAGGATTTTCAGGGCAGAGAGAATGCTGGGAAGAAGGGCAGAGTCTGAGGAGTCTCTAGGCAGAGTCAGAAGAAGCAACATGGGAAGTTCATAGATGAGGTAAACAAGCCTTGGTGCAGCACACAGACTAATGGAAATGGGTTAATTTAAGTTGTAAGAGCTGCCTGGAGATAAGCCTAAGCTACGGATCAAGCATCTATAATTAATATTAAGTCTCTCTGCATTTATTGGGGGAACTGGCAGTCCCAATGAAAAGCTTCACCTATACCCAAGATTATAGCATGCCATACTTCATTCTTTATATCTTGAAGAATTATTTTCTTCCCTCTAGGACAGTGGTTCTCAACCTGTGGGCCACGACCCCTTTGGGAGTCGAATGACCCTTTCACAGGAGTCACCCAAGATCATCGGGAAACACAGATGTTTACATCATGATTCAGAACAGTAGCAAAATAACAGTTATGAAGTAGCAACACAAATAATTTTATGCTTGGGGTCACTGCAACATGAAGAGCTGTATTAAAGTG